GAGAACTCCTTAAAAGCCTGGCAGTAGATAGTGAGGGCCACTCGTGCATCAGAGTCAAAGGTGAACTCCACTCCATATAAGGCCCTTGGTTTTGATCCTTCATCAGTAGGAGTATCAGCGTCATCTTTATACCTATAATCACACAAATTGACATTGAAAATGCAAAATTACTTAAAAGCAAATACATCAATAACAGAACAAAAGTGACTACATGCAGCACAGAGATCATTTGTTCTCAGGATATGAATGTTTATATTTTATATAGTAATCCTGAATCAGTACCTGACCAATCGTAATGAGTCTTTTCTGATGTTGACAAGACTTCTCAATGTCTTGACTGGCTCATGGGGTGCCGGAGTAACATAGGGAAACTGTGGCAGGTACCGCACGTGAAAAAAATTATAAAATAAAGGAAAATTTAATATTAATATTTTATTCAGATTTTTATTTATCAAATGCTTTTATCTAAAGCCAACACAAGAGTTCATCAAAAAGAGACAACAACAGTGGAAACATCACAAAACCAAGTCTCAAAGCTAACAACACAATCACAAGGCATTCAAAATTCAGCTGTACCTGCACTGGGCGGTTACCAAGAAAGTTGAGATCCATGTTCTCTCCAAAAAGGAAACCCTCTGGATGAGGAGTGTCAAACTTCTCTCCTCCCATGAAAAAATGGCTGGCAAAATAGTTTCCTTGGGGAAAGAAAATAGCCATTATCCAATCTGACACCTCTAACAAAATGTATAAACAGAGTAACACCATCAGTGAAGGCATTCTTTGTCATTTTGCCATCGTTTACACTGGTATTAAACTTTGTACATACTAATCCGGTTTCATATGGATTTTAACTACATCATTTAATCAGTTCGTTGACAGTATGACCTTATTAGATAAATGTTTAAAATGGGAGCTTATCTGAGCTCAAAGAATCAGTCTATTAGAGATGATAAGTGTTATCAACTAGAAGGCAAGAGCACATAAACGTCGCCTTCTATCACAACAGTCCATCTTACCTGATTTTGGAGGATATCTGTATGCAGAATTGGCCTGGATGTCGATGTCCTCAACACCAGCGATTCTTCGACTAAGAATTGAACCCATTTCTCCAGCACAGTCCGATCAGAACAAACTAACTTAGCGGTTATTATATGTATACAAAACAGCAACACGGCTGGTTAAGTAAGCTAACTAGCTAACCTTAGCCGCGTAAAAACAGCAACAGCTCCGAAACGAAAAAGTGTTCAAATTAACATGACATGTGTTTGATCGGCATTTCTTTTCTTCTGAGTCGGATCAGATGTGTCTCGTACAGTCGTTTATGTAATGTTCAGTTCAGTCAGCCGGATCAGTCTCGACACACTGGCTAACTAACTGACTAGCAAGCCCGCCAGCACCTAGCTAGTCACGAACTGGTACTCAATAAAACAAGAGGTGAACAGGCATATTAAACACACTAAAGTAAATTATAAAAAGGAAGACAAAAGACCTGCAGATAATTTTGTCCGTGGTGTTTTCCCCAAATAATAATTGCCGTTTTTTTCGTAAACACAACACAAGGAAATCGTTGTTCTTCTTCTTCTTCTGTGGATTTATTGGCGGGGCGCATACCAGCTTTTAAGGTGCATACCGCCACCTCCTGTGCTGGAGTGTGAAGTGATTTCAGTCTAGGCATATATTATGAATTCTATATGCTATTCTTAAGTCCACTATTCCTAATGAATTTTAAAATTGTCTTTATTATTTTACCACATCCTTGTTTTGTGTTTAATATGTTGCAAATTGAAAATTCATTACATCCTAAGTTCTGTAATTCTCTTTGTAGTTCATTCCTTTCCTGTTCATACCTAGGACAGAGTAACAACACATGATCAACTGTTTCCTTTACTTGGCATGTTTCACATAATCCAGTACTGTGTTTCCCTATTATATGAAGTGTAGAATTAAGTTTTGTATGACCCATCCTTAGTCTTGTTAAAATGACCTGATCTTCTCTACTTAAGTTCAGTATCATTTTGCTTTGACTTACCCTGTTTTGTATATTATAAAAATGTCTTCCTGTTTTACAGTCATTCCAATTCCCTTGCCATTTCCAATTGCAAGCTTCTTTAATTATACTTTTCCCCTCCATCCTGCTTAGTGAAACTGAAATAGTAGGAGTATGCAGATTAAGTGACTCTTTAGCCATTTTATCAGCTTTTTCATTTCTTGGTATATCAACATGCGCTGGAACCCAAACAAAATGAACTATTATTCCAGCATGTCTTAATCTATACAATATATTCATTATTTCTATAAAGATATCATATCTAACAGTTTGAAGCCTGGTAAGTGATGCCATTGAATCCGAACAAATCACCACCTTGTTTGGCATCACTTCTTCTACCCAACTAAGTGCCATCTGAATTGCCACCATTTCGGCAGTGTGTACTGAAGTCCCATCCGTTAACCTCCCATATTTTCCGATTTTAAATTCTGGAACATAGAATGCAGATCCAGTACGACCTCTGGGTTTCTTGAGCCATCAGTGTATATTGGCAGAAATACATAATAAAATGTTCTTATATATTCTGTTGAATAGCTTTTGATATGAATGTCAATCTGTCCTTTTTGAATACATTCATGAATTTGTAAATCAACTTCAGGTTGACTGAAAAACCAAGGAGGTATTGGGGAAATTGTAACTGTTGAAGAAAATGTAATATTATTTAGTGACATTTTTGCAGCCCAATCCTTTACTTCCCATGCAAACCCTGTTCCTGTTAAGTTCATTGTCTCCCAACTCCCCTCTAATATTGATTTTGTAGGATGATCTGAATTATGCCCTTGTAAATTGATCCAGTAAGCAACAGATAATTTTTTACGTCTTATTTCTAATGGGGACTCTCCTGTTTCAACTTGCATTGCTGAGATTGGAGTTGTTTTAATTGCACCTGTAATACATCTCAAAGCTCGTGCTTGAATAAGATCTAACTTTTTAAGCATACTGATTGAGGCAGATCCATATATAATACACCCATAATCTAAAACAGATCGTAGAAGTGCACAGTATAAGGTGCTCATTGATTGTTTATTTGCCCCCCATTCTTGGCCTACTATACATCTCATTAGATTTAGTACTTTACTACATTTCTTTTCAATGTAGTCAATATGGATTTTCCATGTTAATTTAGAATCAAACCACAGACCTAAATATTTAAATTTTGTTACCCTTTCTAATGGTTGTTTATATAAATAAAGTTTAATATTTTCTGCGATCCTTTTTTTTGTAAAAAACTGACAACACGTTTTGGATATAGAGAATCTGAATCCCCATTCCACTGACCATTTCTCTACGCCCTCTATTGCTTCCTGAATTTTATGTACAATATAATTAACATTTTTCCCACTCTTCCACATTGCTCCAT